TTCATCATCGCCAACGCTTTTCGAAGTGCAAATTCATCTCTTCGTTTTTCTTCTACAAAAAAAGTTAAATAACTAAGATATGACTATTATATTGGTATATGTTTTTGTAAATACAATATTTATTACAACTGTTAAATAATTTAACATCTAGTAATAATAACGAACAATAACATAAATTTAAATAGAAAAGAGTACAAAGCATAGAATTTACATTAAAATATCCGTAGTATGATGATTTAATATAAAATAAAAGCAAATAATAATAATTATAGAATTAATAAATAAAGTGAATAAAATTTCTGAATAATAAAATAATACTAGAAAACAATAAGTGGAATAAAAACAATAAGTAACATATGATAATAAATATAACAAAATAACAATATTAGAAATAATAAGATATTGGTATATGATAATATGATAATATGAAAATTTTATATTTATTTTATAGATCCTCAGATCGAGTCCTGACACTTTCATAAAATTGAAATTGTAGATTTAAATTCAAATAGAATTGGAATTGTGAGGTTAGAATTAGAACAAGATGAGAATATAAAAAAATGTATAAGATTTAGAAAAAAAAGTGGAATGATGAAGCCTGTAAAAGAGTCAAAAAAATTAATTGCAAAAGAAAAATAAAACAACAAAGTTAGTAGTAGTAAACGAACCATTATTACTAATTTTCTCGACGTTTTATAGCTTGCATTTTTTGAAGTACAAAAATGTCCAGTATTGCAAAAATATTGATTTTAGAATATAGATAAAAATTTATTCAATTTTCAATAAAATGAGTCATTCATTTGGGCATTGTGATATGAATAAGCAATAGCATTAGAAACACTCTTTTTTTAATTTTGATATTCGCAAACCTTTTTGAACTGGATTAAGGACTTCAACTTGGGGACACCGATTTAATTTATTTCAAAAGGAATTTATTAAAATTTAAAATGATGCTTACTTAATTCGATTCACACACACACACACACACATTATATATATATATATATATATATATTTATATATGTGTGTATATATTTATATAGTTCTTACCAGATTTTTTAAACTTCATCACGCCAACGCTTTTCGACGTGCAAATTCATCTGGTCGCCCTCCTTCTGCAGAAAAAAATAAGTAACTAAAATAATTATACTTGGGTATTTTTATAAACATATTATATATGATGATTTTTATATATATCTATAAGACTTATCTATTTATATTTATATATTCCCAATTATATATACACTCTCTATTTTCCTTTCTATATTCTATACAATAATAAAAAACTGCCTCATTGTTTTTTCCTTTATGAGTGTGAAATCTTCCAGTTGTGTTTCTGAAAAAAAAGAAAAATAAAAGGTTTCAACCCAAAAAATCTAAAACAATGATATATAATTAATATTTTCAAAAATATCTATAACTTCAACAATATTTTGTACCATGGATTTAGAATGAATAAATAACATTTTACTATCTATTATTTTCTCTCTATTATAAGATTAAAAGAGCAATCTAATATGAGAATATTTACATTGATAATATTATTGCAAATTTAATCAGGTTTGTTTCAGAAATTAAAAATATGGAAAATTATATGACGTTGTAATTGTATTCGAAAATTTTGACAATAATTAATATTTTGTAATATGTTGTAATATTTTGTATTTGTGCTTTCAGAACTATATAAATTATTAGAGTATCAAATTATAAAATTGCACACATATAGATTTTTTATTGAAGTTACGACAAGAGTGAAAATGTTACATAAATTTAGCCAGATTATTACAGTAATTATATTTTTTTATTATTAAAATTACTTATTAATTAGAATTACTAAAATAAAATTTCACATACCACTATCAATTTCATAATCATAAGCCTTCTCAATTATTGTTGAAAAGCACAAAAACAATCAAAACTTTCTTCATTTTTAATTTTAATAATCACTCTGATTAATAATTTAATTATCACAATAAGAAATAATTTAATAATCACAATAAGAAATCAAAAGATCACTAAATTATTAT